AAAAAAAAAAAAAAAAAAGCAAATAATGGTCTGAGCTTTCAGCAAGTTGAAATCTTCGTGCTAGTGGAAGGTCTTGCCTTGACGTTGATAGCTGCTTCCTGGTCAGGGTGGTGGTTGCTAAAGTTTGGGGTGACTGTGACAGTTTCTTTTAAAAACGGACAACACCTGGATGGAGTTGGAGCATATTCTTCTTAGTAAAGTATCACATGAATGGAGAAGCAAGAATCCAGTGCACTCAATTCTAATATGAAGTCAATAGATGATCTAATACATGCCCACATAGGCGAAAAACGCAAATCAATTCAAGGTGGGGGGAAGGGAATGAGGGAGAGAAGAGGGAGGGGGATGGGTGTGCACCAACTTAATGGGCACAGTGTTAGGGTAGATGGCACAGCTCTGGGGGGCGGGCACGGTTAAAAGAGGGACTTTACCTAAAAATGCAAACATTGTAACCTAATTCTTTGTACCCTCAATTAACCTGAAACAATAAAAAAAAAAAAGTCAATAAAGGGGCAACAAAAGAAGTTTGCCCCGGGCGGCACCTGTGGCTCAAAGGAGTAGGGCGCTGGCGCCATATGTCAGAGGTGGCTGGGTTCAAACCCAGCCCAGGCCAAAAACTGCAAAAAAAAAAAAAAAAAAAAGAAGTTTGCCCCTTTGATTGACTCCTCCTTTCAGGAAAGTTTTCTTACTGGCAAGTGATGCTGTTTGACAACACTTTAGCACACTTGAACTTCTTTCAAAATTGGAGTCAAGCCTTTCAAAGCCTGCGCTGCTATTTCTCAGCTAAGTCGATGTACTATTCTCAATCCTTTGTTGTCATTTCAACAGCATTCACAGCATCTTCACCAGCAGTAATTCCATCTCGAGAAACCACATTCTTTCTTCAGGCTCCACTTCTTATTCTAGCTCTCTTGTTATTTCTACCACATCTACAGTGACCTTCTTCACGGAAGTCTTGAACCCCTCAAAGTCATCCATGAGGCCCGGAACCAACTTCCTCCGAACTCCTGTTCACGTTGATATTCTGACCTCCTCCCATAAGTCACCCTTGTTCTCAGTGGCATCTAGAACAATGACTCCTTTCCAGAAAGTTTTCAACTGACTTTGCCCAGAATCATTAGAGGACTCATTCTATTTAGGAAAGTTAGATACATGGATAAAAACCTGAAAGCTGTGAGAGTTAGCTCAGCTTGTTGCAACTCCTTAATACGGACAGCAGCTGTGGATCTGACTTGGTAAATGACTCAGGTGTCAACTCTAAACCATGAGTTTGACTTCACCCAGAGAAGAGTCATTAATGACTCTTACTTTCATGTGTTTTATATGGCAGGTAAGGTCGGGGAGGCTAAAGATATCTGCTGTTAATCAATCAATGCCTTTGGTGGTTCTCTATTACTGTGTAATAAACCACACCCAAATTTGGAAGCTTAGAATATTATTACTGTCTCTTATGGTCCTGGGGCTCATCTGGGCTTAGGTTGCTGGTTCTTTCTTGGGTTTCTCATGCAGTTGCCAGCAGGCGCCATCTGGGGCTGGAGTCATCTGAAGATTCAGGTGGGCGGGCTCTCCAGGGCAGCTCACATGACTGGCTGTTGACGCTGGCTAAATGCTAAGAGTTCAGCTGGGCCTACTGCCCAGAGCACTCCCTGTGGCCTCTCTGTGTGGTTTGAGCTTTCCACAGCATGGAGCATCTAAGAGCCTGTGTCCCAAGAGGTAGGAAGCAGAAGCTGGTAAATTATTTAAGTGCTATACCTGGAATCGGCCCCGTCACTTCCTCTATGCTTTATTCATCAAACAAGTCTTAGGGCCCAACCAAGTTCAAAGGGTTGGGTGAGTGGCAATGTCACATGGTATAAAAGCACCTCAAATGCTGTTGGCTACGTTGCCTATGATATTATTTCACATTTTTGCAAGTAGTAAATGTAAAGAAGATTTAAGAATAAAGTATTGAAAGAAATATTTTAAAAGATTAAAAAAATACTCCTACAATGCAGAAAGATGAATGTTAAGTAAAATCAGTTCCTTAATTTGGGTTAGTTTCACAGACAAGAGTTTAAACTATGTAAGACATTAGTGGCACTGTAAGCCAGTGAAACAAATGGCACAAATAATGGAATAAATTAACAGGAAAACAAATAATATTAATAACTACAACCATTGTTGTCCAAGGCAGTTTACATCACTGCCTTATCTAACCCTCATGCAGCCCAATGAAATAGGGATCATTGCATCCATTTTTCAGATGAGGAAACTTGCAGAGGTTACAGAGGTTACCTATTTTGCACATGATCCCATAGCTGGCAAGCGCAGGCATGAAAATTAAACCCCAGAATTGCCTGGCTCCGGGGTCAGGACTTTTTGTACTTTACAATACTGCTCATCCAATATACAGGAATGTGATGAAAACAAAGATATGCAAAATGGGTATCAAAATAGTTTTTTCATTTTTTTTTTTTTTGAGGGAGAGTCTCACTCAGTAGCACTGGGGTTGAGTGTCGTGGCGTCACACAGCACCAGCAACCTCAAACTCAGGTGATCCTCTTGCCTCAGCCTCCTGACTAGCTGGGACTATAGGCGCCTGACACAATGCCTGGCTAGTTTTTCTGTTTTTAGTACAGAAGACGTCTAACTCTTGCTCAGGCTTGTGTCAAACTCCTGAGCTCAAGTGATCCACCTGCCTCGGCCTCTCAGAGTGCCAGGATTATAGTCTTAAACCACTGCACTCATCCAAAATCGTTTCTTTCAGAAAGAGAAAGAATGTAACTTTTAAAAGGAGAAAGAATGTAGGAGAAGATGAAAGCCACAGATCTGAACACACACAGTAATCTAGAATGATGGTTGGTACTTCCCGTGTCATTCTTAAGGGTATTTCCCCACCTTCTCCCCACATGTGTTAATTATTCCTCCAGACAGAAAAAACCGTATGTCTCTAGTGACTCCCATAGTATTTCAAAATATACTTGAGATTTTGATTAAATTTTAACAAAAATAACCACATGAGATAGTATATTAGTAGGAAAATACCTGAGGGCACAATTCTTCACCTGAATTTCTCTTTAAGGACACAGAGGCTGCTGTTACACTATTTATGTGATTGATTCTCAGGTTTCCTCAGTAATACTCAGCCTCAGTTCTGTTCAACCAGTTTGCTGTAATTACCTTGGTGTCACAGTAGGATCCCACCATCCTTACGTGACTGCAGTCTCTAATTTAAGTACATCAGCGCAGCAGGCGAGAGGAAACCAGGCATAGTTCAAGCAGGCAGGCCTGCCTGGAGGCTGTAGAAAATGGGAAAGGCTGTCAGTTGGAGAAAACAGGTGCCCAGTCATTAGGCTGGATTGGATTCAGAAGCACCTGTGGCTCCAGGACGCTGAGACAAGCAGTGTCTCAAAAGTTATGGTCGTGGGTGTGTCTGTGCACACGTGCACGCTCAGGAGATGGTAACCACATTCACACGTCTCTTCTAAAGTAGTTAAGTCTGTACCACTCATGGGGACTCGCCCTTTACCCTCTAGGGGTTTGCAGCTGACAGAGCAGGTTCCCCTAGACGTATCTTAAGTGGAAATGTAGAATTGCCATTGGAAGTTCAAAATCTTGGTTACAGATTTAGTCATGGAAAGAGCATTGTACCAAGAATCAGGAAACACATCAGTCTAAACCTTGTTCTGTGACCTCAGACAAATCTAATTATATCTCTGTATCTACTTCTTCATCCGTAAGTGAAGACAGATGCTGAATTAGATGTTTCTAAGACCTATTCCAGCTCCTCAAATCCTTCCTTCCTGCCCAAGGCAATGACCTACTCTTTGTTTTGGGGGGAGGTATTTTTGTTTTGTTTTTTTGTTTTTTTTTTTTTGAGTCAGAACCCCAAGCTGTCCCCCTGGGTAGAGTGCCGTGGCATTACAGCTCACAGCAACCTCCAACTCCTGGACTCTAGTGAGTCTCCTGCCTCGGCCTCCCAAGTAGCTGGGACCACAGCCGCCCGCCACAACACCCGGCTATTTTTGGGTTGCAGCTGTCATTGTTGTTTGGCAGGCCCGGGCTGGGGATTCGAACCCGCCACCTTAGGTGTACGTGGCTGGCTCCTTAGCCGGTTGAGCTATAGGCGCCGAGCCATATTTTGGTTTTTTTTAAGAGACAGTCTCACTTTATCACCCTTGGTAGAGTGCCATGGCATCACAGAAACCTCAAACTCCTGGGCCCAGGTGATTCTCTTGCCTCAGCCTCCGGAGTAGCTGGGACTACAGGCGCCCGCCACAATGCCTGGCTATTTTCTTGTTGCAGTTTGGTTGGGGCTGGGTTCAAACCCGCCACCCTCGGTATATGGGGCCGGTTCCCCACCCACTAAGCCACAAGTGCCATGGGGGAGGAGGCGTAGAGGGGAGGGTGTTTTTTAATCATCTACCTCTTGCAGGGAGGGGCATCCAAGCTTCAGCCCACAGACCGCATCCAGATTTTGTGAGGACATTTTTTTTTTCGCTAATCAGCTTTCCTTAGTGTTTGTAAGGAAACTAAGGGCTTCCTTAGTGTTTACTGTGTGGCCCAAGACAACTCTTCTTCTTCCAATGTGCAGCAGAGGAAAAATAAAAGGTTGGACACCCGGGCATCCCTTCATCAGAATATCAGCTTCAGAAAAGGAAAGGGTCTATTTCTCACAGTCACCCTCCTCTGCCTGGAGCAGCACTTTGCAGAAAAAGTCTTTCAAGGAACTCCGACCACAAGATACTGCTACTTAAAACACACCACTGTTTTATTATGACTTAATTTATAGATTACCATTGATGAATACAGCACATCAGAAATATTACAATGGGAATAAATGCATCTTAGAATCTGTGAAATAGTTTCTCATTTAGTCCTCTTCCTGCATTCTCTCTTGCACATTTTAAACATGCTTTTAAGGAAATACCTATAATCCTCACGGCTCTGCTCATTTGCCTTGTGAGTTCATTCTCAGAAATTATTTCACTATTTTTTTTTTTTAACAAGAAAGTTCTCGGCAGCACCTGTGGCTCAAGGAGTAGGGCACCAGCCCCATATACCGGAGGTGGTGGGTTCAAACCCAGCCCTGGCCAAAAACTGCAAAAAAAACAAGAAAGCTGTCCCAAAGAAATAGCAGAAGATGTTAACAAATGGAAGAATATGCCATGCTTTTATCTGGGAATAATCAACATCATTAAATGTCCCTACTACCCCAAGCAGTCTACAGAGTTAATGTAATCCCCATACAGCACCAACATCATAATTTGAAGAACTTAAAAAAATAGTGCTTCATTTAATATGGAACAAGAAAAAAACCCACATAGCCAATATGATTTCTAGAAATAAAAACAAATCTGGAGGCAGATTTTAGATGTTACCAGACTTTAGGTTATACTACAAGTCTACAGTGATCAAAACAGCCTGGTACTGGCACAAAAATAGAGATATGGATATGTGGAATAGAATAGAGAATCTGGAGATGAACCCAGCCACATATAACCATTTGATCTTTGATTAACCAAACAAAAGCAGGCACTGGGAAAAGAATCCTTACTTTATAAATGATGCTGAGAGAACTGTTTAGCCACTTTGGAGAAGACTGAAACTGGACCCACACCCCTCACCGCTGACAAAAATGGACTCTTGCTGGATAAAAGATTTGAGTCTAAGACACAAACAATAAAAATTCTAAAAGAGAATGTGAGGGAAATACTTGACAATATTGTCCTGGGAAAAGATTTTATGAAGATTTTATTCCCCAGGCAATTGCAGCAACACCATATATAAATAAATGGGATTTGATCAAGCTAAAAAGCCTCTGCACAGCTAAGAGTACCACAACCAAAGCAAACAGCCAGCCTTCAGAATAGGAGAAGTTTTGTTTTTTTGGGTTTTTTTGGTTTTTTTAGAGACAAAGTCTCACTTTATTGCCCTTGGTAAAGTACCGTGGCATCACAGCTCACAGCAACCTCCAGCTTTTAGGCTTAGGTGATTCTCTTGCCTCAGCCTCCCGAGTAGCTGGGACTACAGGTGCCCGCCACAATACCTGGCTATTTTTTTGTTGCAGTTTGGCCGGGGCTGGGTTTGAACCCGCCACCCTCAGTATATGGGGCCAGCGCCTACCCACTGAGCCATAGGTGCCACCCGAGAAGATCTTTGCATGTTACAAATCTGGCAAAGGGCTAATAAGTAGAATCTACAGAGAACTCAAATTAACAAGAAAAGAGCAAGCAACCCCATTTTCAAGTGAGCAAGAGACTTGAACAGAAACTTCTCTGAAGATGACTGGCCAAATAGCCAGCAAACACATGAAAAAATCATCTTTAAGCATCAGAGAAATGCCAATTAAAACCACTCTGAAATATCACCAAACTCCAGTAAGATTAACCCACATCACAAAGTCCCAAATCTGCAGATGCTGGTGTGCATGTGGAGAGAAGGAAATACTTCTACACTGCTGATGGGATTGCAAACTAATACAGCTATTATGGAAAGAAATACAGAGAATTCTGAAAGAACTAAAAGTCCACCTTCCATCTGGTCTCACAATTTCATTACTTTGTATTTGCCCAGAAGAACAAAAATCATTTTACCCCAAAGACATTTGCATCAGAATGTTCATTGCAGTTAGATTCACAGTTGCCAAGTGGAAGCAGCCCAAATGCCCATCAACCCATGAACGGATTAACAAACTCTGGTGTATGTATCCTAGGGAATACTATTCAGCCATAATAAAAGGTGGAGACTTTACATCTTTTATGTTTACCTGGATGGAGTTGAAACACATTCATCTAGTAAAGTATTTCAAGAATGAAAAAAAAATATTCAGTGTACTCAGTACTAATATGAAACCAATATACAAACAACTACATGCCACCCGCCCACACAGATGGTAAATCACAAATATAGTCTGGCCAGGGGGAGGGGAGGGAAGAGGAGGGAAAGAGGAGGGAGGGAGGAGGGAGGGCGATTGGCAGATCTCACCTAATGTGCACAATGTGAGGCTGCTCAGGATCCCCCCTAGATGGAGGGCTCAACTACAACTTGGATTTTACTTAAAAGTGAAAACAATGTAATCTAAAAATCTGTACCTTCATATCAATTTGCAATTTAAAAAAAAAAGAGGTTGATATACCAGGGGGAAAAAAAGAAAAAAACAAACCATTTCTGCTTGCCTCATTCTGCTATCTGTGGATTTCTCAGGATCATCTGAGTTACTGCAAATGGAGATGGTATGAATCCAAATCTCACCTCAGCATGAGGCACATTTTCTTATGGATGATCTTTTTTTCACTGACACCTTGGGTGGATACTAGATGTCATGTTCCGGGACCCATGGACAGAGTGTGTGTGCCTCCTTTCACAGCTTCGGCCACCCTCCTGGGCCACCAGCTTTAGTTAGTACCCATTTCCAGCCCCCCTCCTAGCTGAGCCTGATGAATGAGTCCCAAGTCTTTTAAACCTAAGCCAGGAGACACAGGTTTTGCAGAAGTAATACAATCCTTGTAAACATCTAGGGTCTTCTGTTTCTATACCGTACCACTGCAGCCCACAAGTCATCATGCCCATAAAATTCAAGTGGGCGTTTTAATCTCTTTTAAAATTATCCAGTGTACTTTTTGCTTAGATCTTCTTGCTTTTTCTAGGTGTCATGAAAGGTCAAAATGCCCTTTTATGAATCATGATATTTCTGAGGTGTTTGATGCTTTTAAGAGTTAGTGTATTGGAATGGGAGTAGCCATTCACTCAAGAAAAAATTGTTAAGTGTCCAGCATGGCAAATACCATTTTGGGTACAAGAAAAATAATAAATAACAGAATATGTTCCTTGGTCTTGAATAGGCAGGGTTTTAACTGTAAAAAAATGACATATTTAAATGGCCCCATTTCTTTTAGCATCCTTGTTCTCTGAAAGTGATTATGTTCTACCCAAGACTATGACCAAGGTCTGATTGCTTGGCAGTAATTTGGCTTTGTGGGTTTTCCTTTTGTCCTTTATGCAGCTGACCAAGAGGAGGAAGCTCATCCTGAATTCAAATTTGGAAATGAACTTTCTGCCGATGACTTGGGTCACAAGGAAGCTGTTGCAAATAGCGTCAAGAAGGTCAGGGTCTCTGTTTCCCTTTTCTTTCATGATTCTCAAGAGGTAGCAGATGTTGTTCATGAAATTTTGGAAATGGGACGACTACAAGGGAATGAAGTAGCTTATAATTCTTTTTTTGTGTTACATAGGATAAAAGTCTCTGCTGGGTGGCCAGAGCATGGCACACATACAAGATTAAATCTAAAAGGACGGCTAAATCACTCATTAGTCAGGCCTAGGGTTCACCATGCCCCATTTGGCCAGTGTCTTTTAAATATTATCACTGATCACATTATCATACGTAGCTCAGGTGACAACAACAACATCCTAGTGGCAGGGATTAGCCTGTTGAAATCATCAGAAAGACGACCGTTGAATATCCCAGGTCAAGCCCTCATTACAAGTCCCACCAGTTAGATATCTTCCTCCTATTGTAGAATAAACCTAAAAATATTTCCAACCATTCAGCCAAGAAAAATAAGTTATAATAAATAATTACATTGTGCCTACTATTCGTCAGGCATAGACTAAGCCATAAAGACATAAAAGAATCAAAACATTGTGTTCTGCATTTAGACTGTTTGAAACTTCCTATCATTTTGGGAAGGAGTTAGTAAACAGCAAAGAAGTCAACAGTCAAATAGTTTTTAATCACAACTTGTGATAAATGCTATATTGAAAGTAAAAATAAGCACTGAAATAGAGACTAATGAGAATAATGAGCAGGGAGGAATAAGGAAACCAGAGCCCAAAGGGGTGAGAAGCATCGGCCCTACTCAGAGATAGAGGACTAACTTTCCGGGCAGAGGGACCACCACCACCACCACAAAAACAATATGGGTAAAGAGTGGACTGAATGAGAGGTAGAGAGAGACAGGGTGAGATGGAGGAGGTAGTGGGAACTAGGTGACGAAGAAGGAGTCTGGAGTGTGTTTGCAAATGGTGGGAAATGGTGCTGTAGAGTGGGAATTATTAGTCTTGCAGGACAGAGAAGGATAGCTGCCTGCACATTCCTTGAGAAAGTGAGAGTAGACAGAATGGTGGTGATGTGAAGGTGTGAACCTGGATGGGACCAGAGATACTTGATCAGTGAGGACAGTGAATGAACTTTCAGGTAGTAGATATGTTTGGTGATAGGAAGATGGAGAGTATTTATCTGATGAGCAAAGCGAAAGGAATATTGCCATTAAACCCTACCTTTTCTGATATAGGGAATTACGGCAACTGTGACTACTTTGAGAATATTGCATGCCTACTAAGACTCAACAGTGTTACTTTACTATGTAAAGCCTTCATCAATAATGTCTTACTCAGTTTGGGATGCTATACAAACTAAAAAAATACCATAGACTGATTGGCTTAAACAATAGGTTATTATTTCTCACAGCTGTAGGGGCTGGGGAGTCTTAGATCAGGGGGATAGACAAATCAGTTCTAGTGAGGGCTCTCCTCTGGTTTTGTCTTCAGGTAGGCAGAGAATGAGGAAACCAGCTATGTCTGTCTCTTTTGATAAGGACACTAATCCCATGCTGAGGGCCCCACCCTCATGACCTAATGACCTCCCAAAGGCCCCACCTTCAAGTGCCACCACTTGGGGTTTAATTTTTCCCCATATGAATTTGAAGGGGGTAGGAGACATTCAGTCCATAGCAAACACCTAGGCATGAATGCTGAATTCCTGGAAGGTGGCTGTTCATGCTTGCTGCCCTTTACATCTCAGGAGAGGTGGCCCTGTTGATTTTTTATTACCAAAGCCCCTTGACTAAAGCACTAATTATGTTATCATAATGAAGCATCTAAGTAGGCTAAGACTGTCAGCAAGGGAGGGAAATATTAAGATTAGCTTTTTGGGCAGCGCCTTTGGCTCAAAGGAGTAAAGCACCGGCTCCATATGCCAGAGGTGGCGGGTTCAAACCCAGCCCCAGCCAAAAATTAAAAAAAAAAAAAAATTAGCTTTTCTGATGTATAAAACAGTGAGGTCAGCATATTATTTTAGTACTGGCTTCTGTCCAGGGGCTTATGTCCTAATAACAAATAGAGAGTAATTTCTATTCATTTAAATATTTACATATCATTACTAATAAATTTGGAATTTTGCCCTTTAGAGAAGTAAACAAATTATTTTTCCTGCTCTAATTTAGGCCTCAGATGACCTTGAACATGAAAACAACAAAAAGGTAACAAAATAATTCCCTTGTGCACTTTGTTTTCATCATGAGACATCCATAGGTGGCCCTCTAATGTTGAGCATTTTGTACTGAGTGGTGGTGTTACACTGCCTCCCCTTAGCCCATGAAATAAATGTAAGGCCATTTATAGGCATAATATTTGCATGTATGATGCATCTAATTAAAAGAGTCTTCAAAGGAAATAACTAATTATGGTAATAAAATGATTAAATCCTGATTTGATAAAATCACAAAAATAGGGCAGAGTACTATGATTTTCCTAAAAATAGGTGTTAAGTGCAGTAAGGCATTTTTTTAGTTAGAGTTAGGGATTTCATTCCTAGAATAGGGCTACATTGTCACTGGCATATTGACTTTAGAAATAAAAATGGCCTAACAGGTCATCAAATCCATATTATATTATAATAGAAAGGCTGATCTTGATTGTGACTACACCAACATTCAGAAAGATCATTAGTTAATTTCATACTGCATATCTTCTATAATTTTTATTTGATGTTACTAGATACTAGCTTTATTGTAAGGAAGGTAAAGATACATTTTTCAGTTTCTTTTATCTTCAGAGTTTTTCAGGTTGATCAAAGTGGTCTGACTTATGCTTTATTGTATAGTAATGAGAATGATAAGAGCCACAGGCAGAAATTTGCCTTATAACTTGATAGTCATACATCAGAGCTTCAGAAAATACTGCCTTGCTATCTGTGGGGTCTTATTTAGAGTGAGACCCTATCTTCTCATTGTCCAAACATTTTGAAACAATTTATGTTTCAATACATATGATAGTCGTCCTCTCCCAACATGCTGTGAGTATAATGTTTTTGTCTACTAGGACTTCATAAGGTATTAGAGTAACCGTGCACAGATTGACTGGCAATTGGTCGCTGCTGTTTGTTGGTTAAGTTATTTGAATCCTCAGGCCCTCAGGCTTCTCATGTGGACATTGGGTAGGATTGTAATCCTCACTACACATCACTGACAGTAATGAGACTGACTGTGCTTGCAAGAATTTGTCTTAACGCCAGCCACATAGTACTTGAATTATTTATTATCATTAAATATACAAGGAGGGAACAGACCATGACCTCTGCCCATGTTTGGTGAAGAAGGGGGTCCAGACATAGGAAGAAAATGATGAAAACAAAAACAAAACCAAGTTACTTTATTTGAAAATGTATCTCAGGCTTTTATTGGTGAAATAGGTTTGATGATTTAGAAGCTCAGATTGCTCAATCATCAGTTATGACGAAGAGTCTGACCATTTCTTTTAATTCATAGGATTATATTATGTGACTAGGCAGTTATCCAACTAGATTCAATCTATGTAGGAAATTTAGCTTTCAAAGTTCTCCACAAAAATGTTGATCGCTTTTGAAGGTATTATTTTTATTGTCAGTTTTGGCTTTTTCTGATTTATCCAAGAAATAAACTAAAATAATTTATTATTTTTCCCTATGCAACATAATGCTAGTTCCATATTTCCTATGTAGCTAGTTATCAGATAATTTTAAGAATAAGCACTTTAAAAAGAAATGCCATAAACTACTTAAGGCCTAAATGCTAGGGAAGTGCCACTATGCAGTAATACTCCCAGACCAGCAGCGTCATTAGCTGGGAACGAGGTAGGGGAATACAAATTGGGGGGCCTCACTCCAGAATCACTTCAACACAAACTGAGGGCCCAGAAATCTGAGCTTCATTTAACAGGTCTTCAAGGTATTTCTGATGCTCACTAAAGTTTGAGAATCACTGTTTTTGACTTTTCACCTCAGTTTGCGAAAATATGAACGATAATACCTGCTGTATACACAGGTATCTCACAGCAGTACTGTGAGTCCCGGGATAGTTTCTTGAATATTTTAAAGTCTTTTGAAAATCTAAAGTTGTTAAGTCATATACACATAGAGTGTGAACACATTAATGCATATGTGGGGTACAATGTGTTGGTTTTCTTTTTATACAATTTGGAGTGTTTACATCCACCTAATCTTAATAAAAGGGGGAAAAATAAATAAAATATATGAAGAATAAAAAAAGAAGAAAATCTAAAGTTGTCCTAAAAATGTCAGAGAAGCTTAATATTTTATTCTCACCTCCTTTTACATTATTTGGAGGGACAATAGACCATAACTTTTTGAAGTATTCATTAGCATAACTGGGGAAGAAAAGGATCTTGACCCTTCCATGCGTGTATGTAAGCCATCTTTTGAAAGGAAGTCTGCAGTATGTATCCGTGAGTCCCACTGATGTCAGCGACTTGTTTGTTATCTTCCTTGCACTTGCAGGGCCTGGTCACAGTAGAAGATGAGCAGGCGTGGATGGCATCTTATAAATATGTGGGTGCTACCACTAACATTCACCCGTATTTGTCCGCAATGATCAACTATGCCCAGCCTGTCAAGTTTCAAGGTTTCCATGTAGCCGAAGGTAACACCAGAGGTTAAATGCAATAGCCTGTTTTGGTCTGCTTTTCTTTTCTTTAATGGTGCCTATGAGATATGAGCCGACTTGTTGATGTTATCTTTCTGGTCCTGAGGTCTGTTTCAGCTCACCTTATTTTTGTTTCACAAGCCATATAGCCATGCACCCTTAGAATGCAGTGACGAGCTAATGTTGCCAGTTGCAATGTTGTCATTCCCCACTTTACCCACAAGGTGGCTCTTAGAGACTGGATTTGTCTAAACTCGCGCTCCAGGTGCTTTTACAGCACTTCTTTTTATCAAAATTTGGTCTCCAAATGTCTTTGTTATAAAATAATTTTTTTTTTTGCAGTTTTTGGCCAGGGCTAGGTTTGAACCTGCCACCTCTGGCATATGGGGCTGGTGCCCTACTCCTTTGAGCCACCAGCACCGCCCGTGTAAAATAATTTTTGATCATCTGGATATATACCTAGTAGAAGAATTGCAGAATCAAACAGTAGGTCTGCTTTTAGTTCCTTGAGTGTTGGCCAAACTTTTTCCCAAAAAAGTCGTATTATCTTTCATTGCCTCCAGCAGTATAGAAGCATTCCCTTCTCTCCACATCCACGCCAACGTCTGTAGTTCGGGGATTTTGTGATGTGGGCTAATCTTACTGGAGTTAGATGATATCTCAAAGTGGTTTTGATTTGCATTTCTCTGATGATTAAGGATGATGAGCATTTTTCCATGTGTTTGTATGCCATGCAGCTGTCTTCATCAGAGAAGTTTCTGTTCAAGTCTCTTGCCCACATAGAAATGGGGTTATTTGTTCTTTTCTATACCCAGATGATCAAAAATTATTTTACAAGACATATGCACCACAATGTTTATTGCAGCCCAATTCATAATAGCCAAGACATGGAAATAGCCCAAGTGCCCATGGACCCATGAATGGATTAACAAACTGTGGTATATGTATACCATGGAATACTATGGAGTCATAAAAAAGATGGAGACTTCACATCTTTTATGTTTACCTGGATGGAGCTGGAATATATTCTTCTTAGTAAAGTATCTCAAGAATGGAAAAACAAGTATCCAGTTTACTCAATACCACTACAAAATCAATATATAATCACCTACACACTCATATAATGGCAAAACACAACTATAGTCCAGAAAGTAGAAGGGAGAGGAGAGAGAAGGGAGGGGAGGGGAGATATGGGAGGAGGGAGAGTATTTGGGGGGACCTCACCTAATGTGCATGATGCAATGGTACATTTCAAAACTATTAAGAAATGAGTATAATTGTGATGGATGTGTTACTTAGTTTAATGTAAGCATTTCACATTGTATATCGACGTAGTACCCTGAACCCCATAAATACATCAATGTACTAAGTTTTGATTTAATAAAAAATAATTTTAAAAATGTGGTCTCCAAAAACATAGAAAGTATTTATAAAACTTTTCATAATCATTTCTGGGCCAGAGAGGCCATCACCATCATTGTCATCAAAAAATACATATTTTAGCGGTGGCTGTGGCTCTTGGAGTACACACAGTTTGTTTAATGATTCCAAATTTAATTCGGTACAGTTACAGGTATGATAGTGTACCCTTGGCCTTGAAGTCCTTGTGATTCAATGTAATTATTTTCATTGCTTGTCTTTCTCTGAGGGTTTGGTGGCAAGGTTTCTGAATCCATTTTTTAATTTTTTTTTAACAGAACGCAATATTCATTATAACATGTCTTCTTTTAATGAATCAGTTGGTCTTGGCTACCTGAAGACACATGCAATTGAGTTTGTAAAGTATCCTTATGTATCGAGTGGAGCAACTGGTGGGTGTGCTTTTGGTTTGGAAGAAGTCTCTGAAACAGATACCTGGCTATTATATAATTTTTGTTATAGAGCTAATAGCATGATATATGTAAACAACCAGGGCAGCTGTGACACAGTCTGCCCAAATGAGAATTGCTTTTATAACCCACACAGTGAACTTTGATTTTTCTCTTAAGCATCATTTATAAATGTGAAATTCGCTCCATGCCATCTACATGTTTGTCCTGTTGGCCTTGACCTTCGTTGTTTTAGCTCTTTGGTGTTTATTTATCTCTTCCCTGGTACTCTTTGTTTTCCCTGTTTTTCCTTAATAAGTCACACAGTTACAACAAACGGCAAATGAGTCGCATTTACCCCAAGGGAGGCCGAGTCGATTCCAGTAATTACATGCCTCAGATTTTCTGGAACGCTGGCTGCCAGATGGTTTCACTGAACTATCAAACCCCAGGTAGGAGCTGATGTCCAGTGACCCCAAATTCCATGGGAACACTTTGACAGGATGGTGCCAGAGTTGCCGTCAGTTGGCTGTGGGCATTTTACAAGGAAGCAGACATATGGCAAAACAATGTGTTGTTGGATTATATAATGGTGAGAAATTAAAAACCCAAAATAGAGCAATCAAACAATGGTAGAAGATAGTATGTTGTGATTTCAATTTAATCCCTTTCATAAATGCCATGACTATTCTGCTAAACTTTATCCCCTACTTTAGAATATTTCTAATTTTCTTTCCTTTTAGATCAAACTTGTTGTCTCTGTTTCCAGAGGCAGAAATAAGTAAGAAGAATTTGATTATATTTGTGTAGCAGCTGTGACTCTTTTGTACTTTGGAAAATACTCTGACTAGTGTGACCATTCAGTAAATATCAATGACACAGTGGCATTTCACCATAAAAGTACAGAATAGTATGGAGTAAACTCCACTAAACAGGCTGTGTTAAGGACTTACACATTCTTAGAGTCAACTAATGGATAACTTGATCCACCAAAGTGTACTCAAAAGATAGGTTTCCAAGATACCGGGTGGCCATAAAGTTTGCATACAATTAAAATAGACAGTTATTTATCTCTTCCCTTTAAGTTGTCTATTAAAATAGACAAGTATTTGAATTGCATGCAAACTTTATGGCCACCCTGTATGATGATTTTTTTTTCTTTCTGGAAAAAGAGGAGTCAATATTGATAAATGCATAAACAAAGTTTTAAAAGTTTCTAAGGTTTTCCATAAACCTAGAGTCATAACATTAAGATTAAAGATAACAAAATAGAAATGGAATGGATAGAAATATGTCACAAAGCCCATTCACTTTATATGATTGATACTGCACCGTAGTTCTTAAGGGTGGTAAAATAAAAATCTCTTTTCTTCAAACCCCGAATCTCTTTTTCCCCCTTCAGTTTTTTGCTATGTAAGGACACCTCCCGTGCGTCCCAGTGTGAGGACCTTTTCCTTTTCCAGTCCATGCTTTGAGAATCTGCAGCCACCTTGTTTCCTAATATCTGGACTGCGTGAAAGATGTTTTGACTTTCGTCCCTTTGACATGAGTGTGATGGGCTATACATGCTACCCCTGGATGGCGCCTCCCTTGGACCCTGAAGGTCCTCTTGCTGAAGTCACCATTCTGCCCAGTGTCCCCACAACACTCTGCTGATTAGAGTCAAGTTAGTTTTGACCTTTGGTTGTGTGCTTACAATTAAAAAGGCTAAAGTAAGGCTCAGGTTACATTCTCAGTTGTCAGGGAGTCCAGAATAGGGATTAAATGATCCTAAACCAGTTTATTCACTAGGCCAGCTAACATTTGATTCTATAATGTTTGGTTTAACCACATCATGTTGAAGAAGGAAAAAAAATCCATCAGTTTACACATTTTTTTGCTGATAAGAAGAAAGAAGATGTTACCCACCAGCAAGAGAAAAATCCTAAGCCATGCCCCGCCACTGTAGACCCCACCCGAAGAATTCCTCCCAAAGCTCACCCTGGGAACAGCCAACAATTTGTGTGTGATACCTAGTTCATTACTGAAACTGTTCAGTGGAGTTTTGAATTCACACTGACCCTGGTAGATATGTTCAGAGATTCTAGCATGATCTTTATGAAAACACATTTTATGTTTCATTTAAATTAAAAATGAGGTCATCACAATATGAAAGAAATCACTGTGTGTCTTCAGACAGATCCAGGGTATCATGTAGTATTAGAGAGGGACCTTTGGATCAAGGAACACTCTGATTTCCTTTGTTTAAAATCACCCCATCAGGACTTTCTTTGTCCGGGAGACAAGATGCTAAATTATTTTTGTCTCTTGACAGATTTAGCGATGCAATTGAATCAGGGAAAATTTGAGTATAATGGATCGTGCGGGTGAGTAATGTGATTTAAACTGTTGTCATCTCTTTTCAGAACTCCATACTACACCTGTAATGAAACCCTGTCACTTTTAATTAGGGGCTGCAGAATTTATTCTGGGTTTGAAGGATGAGATAGAAACAAATTAAGTCCCTGGGTTGATTATATTTGCAAATATACATTTATCTACCCCATTCATCTTAAGCAGGGTTTTTTAAAACCACAACTTAAGCAGTTCATCATATAAGCTATAGAGTTTAATTCTCTCACTTTAAAATCAGTAGGAGTTTTTTTATATCTGGGCCAGGTAATGATCCCTGCTCGCTTGGACGTTACCCTGGGCCCTAGGCATTAAATATGTGTATTTTACCTGGGACAAATAGAAGTGAAGTTAATTTCACATATAATGAAGTTGTGGGTATCAAGTTGAATTTAATTCAGTGGGAATAAACCTTTGCCCTGTATTGATTTTTTTGCTTGTCTTGTAAAATAGCAGTCATCAAAGGCTAATGCTGTGAATATTGTTGTAGTTTACTTAAATAACACTCTTTAAAATTTGTGAACCAGGAGTTGAAATAGGAAATGTTAATTCCACTGAAACGCTGAAAGGCAAAGTGAAAACGTGCAGTTAGAATTCTGTAGAGATTTTTTTTAAAAACCCTGTGTGGCTGTTTTCATCCCAGGCATCTGTCCCCACGCAGCACTATGCCTAGTCCCAGACCGCTGCCCAGAAGCCTCTGGACTAGTTCAGCGCATCCCATCTCATTATGCTCCTGTTAGCACCGTAGTGCACCTGCTTGGCTATCTTAATTTTTATCACTGAAAACAGACAGTTAAGATAAAGATTCTTAGCAGTTGTGGATTCAGAATTCGGATTTTTTTTTTTTTGAGACAGAGTCTCATTGTGTCGCCCTCGGTCGAGTACCATGGCATCACAGCTCACAGCAACCTCAAATTCCTGGGCTTAAGTGATTCTCTTGCCTCAGCCTCCCAAGTAGCTGGGATTACAGGCATCTGCCACAACACCCAGCTATTTTCTTTGGTTGTAGTTGTCATTGTTGTTTGGCAGGCCTGGGCTGGGGTCGCACCTGCCAGCTCTGGTGCCTGTGGCTGGTGCCCTAGCTGCAGAGCTACAGGCGCCAAACCTGGAATGGCTCTTTAAAGTACACACTCCGTCCATCAGCCTGCGTGGGGGACGGTTCTCTTGCCAGTGTGGACATAGGTGCAGCTGACCCATACCACCCCCCCATACATACCTGAAGTGTCCACTACATTTCCCTCTACTATGTGCTTTGAAAGAAATAAAAATTATGTAGTTAGGAAGAAAAAGATCTGGATTACCATTTCAGAATTTGGTTAAAGCTGTTTTGTGACTAAGGGTTCATAACCAGGGGATTTTGCACATACATTGCTCCGTAGGCATCCCCCCTTTTCCACTGTTAGTGGTGGGCTAGCCAGTGAGGACCCTAGGTTGGGGGTCTGAAGACACAGGTTTGCGTGTAGCTCCCGGCTTCTCTGAGTACTGGCTGTGTCATCTTGGGCCGGCGTGTCAGACTCTGAACCTTGATTCCTCGCTTTATAAAATGAAGACAGCAACACCTGCTAGACCAGGGTTTGGTGTGTTCAAAGCAAAGGAGACTGTGTCTCTCCCTGAACAAGAGGGGGAACTAACAGACTTTCTCTTTGACTAAAACTGAGTTTTTCCTGACTAGGCCCAGCCTTGGCTTCCCTCTCTACCACTGTAGAATGTAGTTTGAGCATGAATCCTGCTACACCAGTTTAGGCCCAGTGCACCACCCTTGGCATCTGCCCACCTGCTATGTCTTATCACTGTGGCCTACCTTCAGCAATAATCGCACCAAATCCCTTTAGCCAGAAACCCCTTGTCCTTGGCAGTTTTCCTCTTAGCAGCTCTCCATTCACTCACCCCCACCCTGCTCCTCGGTTATAAATCCCTACTTGTCCTTGATGGAATCAGGCTCATGCCCACTGTTGTCATGGCCTCCCTTGAATGAAGCCTGCCGTACCATTTTTTAACAAGTGTGTGCCTAATTTTTTTTTCTTTAACAATCATGACAGCCCAGTAAGGTTGAACAAAGGAGTGTCTATGCACATACTTCAGGAACTGCAAATTTCTGTGCAAAAGTGAGGTTTAGGAAAAGCTTAAGACTTTACGATCCATCACACTTGGAAACAAGGCAAAACCCAGTGAGTGTTCTGTTCAGATCGAGCCTTCAAGAAGCCCAGGGAGGCAAGGGCAGCATCCAGAGTTCACACATGACCTGTCAGGATGACTGTGCTCACTTCTCTAGCCCTGCAGTGGCCCCGTGACGCTTAAGCAGTTTCCATGCCCACCTCGGCAATCCCAGGGTAACCCAGGCAGTGTGGCTTGATGCAGGGACAGAAAGGGTTCCAGCTGTGTATTTAGTGAGTTTCTTTCCAGTAGTTTCTGCCTTACCGCTGTTACCATGTTCGGTGTCTCCCTCTCTACACCGTTGCTCATTTGAAAATGCGTTTGTTTATTTTTTAAAAACCTTCACGAACTAGGACAATGCTCTACTTGAGCTGGAATTCTCTGTTTGAGGGGATGTGACCAAAGTGTAGGTCTCACCAGACAGACTGAAAATACACCCTGTGCCTCCAGCTTGACCAGGCCTTGGCGATACTGCCCAGCCTGTGTCCCATGCTGTCCTATCCCCACGCCCAGCTGTCACCCACAAGAGAAAGAGAAGTATATGTCCTCACCTGTCAGCCTCTGTGATGGTAGATGTAGGGCCTGCACCATACAGGAGCGTGTGTCCCTGGGGCGCAGCCAGCCGGGGCACGGCTAGCCAGGGCACAGACAGCCGGGGCACAGACAGCTGGGGCACGGCCAGCCGGGGCACAGACAGCCAGGGCACGGCCAGCCAGGGCATGGCCAGCCGGGGCACAGACAGCCGGGGCATAGACAGCCGGGGCACAGACAACTGGGGCATGGCCAGCCGGGGCACAGCCAGCCAGGGCATGGCCAGCCAGGGCACGGCCAGCCGGGGCACAGACAGCCAGGGCACAGACAGCCAGGGCACAGCCAGCCGGGGCATAGACAGCCGGGGCACAGACAGCCAGGGCACAGCCATCCGGGGCACAGACAGCCGGGGCACGGCCAGCCGGGGCACAGCCAGC